ATCGACATGGAATTATGACAAAACGAGAATATCGTGGTGCAAGGTGAAATTGTTTTTTTTTTTATTTAAAATAAAATTTAAATTGTTCGTTTTAGACAAGTTGAACCTTTATTTGAATTTATTCGCCAACAAGTTGAATCATCAATGATTAAATTATCAAAACCAAATGATTTATTAACATTAGATAAAAAAAAACATTATGTTATTGGACATTTTGATAGTGAAACATCGGAAAATTATCAAATCTTTTCCAAAGTAGCAAGTCTTCTCAGAGAAGATTGTCATTTTGCTGGATCGACTAATAAGTAAATATAGATTTAATTATTAAGAAAAGTTATCAACAAATAAGATCTCTTCTATTTAAAAGATTAATCAGTAGTTAATCTAATTTATAATCACATTAGTTGTAAGCACTGTTAAGTCCGAAAGTAGGCTATTTATAAATCATAAATTTTTCAATTGAAAATTTTAAATATTTATAAATATTTTGGTATTTATAAATCAGGCTTATTTATAAATCTGTTTTTGATTTATAAACGCTTGAAAGATTTATAAATACCGATTCGATTTATAAATTTAGCCGATTTATCAATATTTGACCGATTTATAAATCTAACTCGATTATAGACGAATATTGGATAAATAAATTCGAGTATATTGTATAAGCATCTGACCAGTTTACGAATTTTGAACTGATTAATAAACCTAAGGGATTAAATTATCTTTATCATTTTAAGTGTCAATATCAGTATATAACCTCCCCATGGTGGAATATGATTTCACTAAATTTAAGAGCACTATTGTCACGAATTTATAGTAGACATTTAGACAGCTTTGAATTTCTAGACTTGTCAAATTACCAACTTCGACTCGGTTTATAAACATTTTAAATTTTTACAATTTCTGATAAATTTAAATTTTTGTCAAAATTATTTCGGACTCAACAGTGGTTGTAAGACAAGACAATTTTTGTAAAATAAAGCTTGACAGATGAATACAGACTTTTTGATAGTTATCGATTGACGATATGTTAATTATAGTCAAATATTGTTCTTAATAAATCAATATAAAAAATCGATTAAATTTTCTCAGAATAATAAAACAAACTTTCGATGTTTTCGTGACTTTATCAATATTGAATAAATTCTATTCTTATTTAAACAACATAACTGTCACATCTTGATTTATGATCTAAAAGAGAAAAACACACCTGGAATAATCAGAGATATAGACATCTAGTGACGTATCAATGACAATGTCAGTTATTCAATAGAATTTTTCTTGCATACTAATAGAAAATCTTTGATCTAAATCAAAGTAAAATATATTGATAATTAAATAAATAATTATTGTTTTTTTTTTATTTGAATAGAGATGAATTTAAAAATGAACGTCCAACAAATGATATTGTTTATTATCGTTCATCTCAAGTAAAAGAAAATAATTTTAATAAAATAAAATAAAAATCTAAATTTAGTCATCAAATGAAAGTGATCAATATTATACGGGATTAATAAATAATCAAGCATCATTTTATGCATGGTCACATGAAAAATGTATTCCATTAGTTCGAGAAATAACATTTGAAAATGCCGAAGAATTAACAGACGAAGGTTTACCATTTCTTATTTTATTTCATCATGTTGATGATCATCAATCAGTTGCATTATTTCAACGAGAAGTTGCCAAACAATTAATGCATGAACGATGTAATATATTCAGAAATTCTTCTTAAAAAAAATAATTGAAATATTTTTGTTTATTTTAGCGGGTATTAATTGTTTACATGCAGATGGAGCAAAATTTTCTCATCCGTTACAACATTTAGGAAAAAAATTATCGGATTTACCATTATTAGTTATTGATAGTTTTAAACATATGTTTCTTTTTCCAGATATTAATTTAATGTCGTAAGAGTTTCTTTTTTTCTTCTTAATTTTATTCCAAAAATTAATTTATTTAGAGTTGATGGTAAATTATTACAATTTGTTAAAGATCTTCATTCAGAAAAACTTCATAAAGATTTTCATCAACCACCAAAAGCAGTTCAAGTAATTTTGTTTAAATTTAATTGTAAAACCAAGGGG